CAAATTTCAGAACACTGTCACTCTGCCGGATTTCCACCAGAAGTCTCATCTTTGTCTCCAAGTTCAGGCCTCCCCCAAAACCAGTAAGTCTTCATTCCCTTTGCTCTTTTCTTTGTGAGTTTGACTCCAGCATCTGCAAAACCATGCCAAATCGTATTGTGAAAAGAGAAATGTACTTGGCGTTGCTGGCTATGAGCCTGGGGCTGAGTCCACGCGGCCTGGTCGATTTGGGCTCGGTTGCTTCAGCTTGGGACCTTCGAACTCGGTTCTAGGTTCTTGAGACCTCGGCATGAGTTTTTTTTTTTTTTACCTCCATGACCGCAGAGCTCGAGTGTCAAAACCTTTGGCTCTGGGGCCTCTGGTCTGAACATATTCTTTATTTCTTCTCGTACTGGACGTTTGACCTCTCGACCGCTAGGAGCTAACTCGACCCCCTTGTTTGCCCAGAATGTCGCCAAAGCAGATTAGACGTCGAGAGGTCTCCAGAAGCAGGGTCAGGGATGACCCTGAGGAGGTTGTAACGTCGAGCACGTCTTCGGGTGAAAGTGGAGATTATCTGCTCTACCAGGTGGACAAGTACGCCGAGGTGTCTGTTGGTCTCCGAATCGAATTCGGATGCGAAAGCGTGGGGGGGAGCGGATCGTGTATAACAAAAATTTTCATAAAACTTTTGAGATACTCTATAAATTATATTATGCACGAATAAATTAATCTCATTAACTTATATATATCAAGAACTCAATCAGAAAAAATACCTGGAAGCCGACTCGGATGATAACTTGAGTTCTTTGACCACGAACAGTCCTTGCTCCAAGCTTTGTGTTTAGAAAACCAATGTCTTCCACGTCAATTCCTATAATCCACGAAGACGTGTATGTGGGCACACATGAGACAAAACAGGTTACAATAAACACTCAAATTTCCACAAACACCAATGCATGCACGATGTGGAATTTTTAGAGAAAAATTTTTCCTTCCCTTGCTCTAAGAGAATTTCGGCCACCCTTTTTAAATTAGGGCAAAATTGTTTCAAAAATTGTCTCAAAAACTGTGTCCACAATTTTCTACTATTCTCTTATTTATAGAGTAGAAGTCAAACTTCTAGAAGGAATCCAATCTTTAGCTCCAAGATAAAGCTTGTCAATTATCTCCTATTTGAATTTGAAACAAAATCTCCTCTTTTCCTCTATCCATTATGGCCGGCCATTGTAGGAGATTCTCATCCCTGTGTGACACCAATTTGCAGATAGGGAAGGAAGAGAAAATCATACTTTATCCTGTAGTCCAATCTTGACTCAAATTCAAATTCCAATTGAAGTCAAACTTAAATTAATTTGAATTCTAAATTGAACAACTTATCAAATAAGTAAAATTTCCATTTTGCCCTCTGTGTCTGGCAGAATTACTAGGACGACGCGGGGACTAATGGACCTATAATTCCGAGCTCCAATAAAATTAATAATTAATTAAACACTTTAATTAATTAATTAATTCTATTAATTCTAATAGTTACTCCACTATAAACTTGGAATTGCACTTTCGAAATTATAGATATAAATTACTTCTAAACTGTGAAGTGTTCATTTGATATAGTCATTGCATATAGATCAATCCTCCATAAATAATTCATAATTAGAGTTAGGTAAAATCCGTTAACCTCTCTAATTACTTCTTTATCCTTGAGTACCATTGGTTCTCTAATGGACAGTGATTCATAAAACACATTCATGAATCGGAGCTCCTACTGGTCCAAGTACCGAATCAACCCTCAAGAGAATTATTTATCTACTTCTTTCTTAAGAAGGAATGGATTCCATCTTGTGTAATAACATTCCCGGCTACCTACTTCATCATGTCTCCAAAATACAAGGAATAGGATTCAGGATCTCAGAACCCGTATCGAGTAAATCAAAAGACACAAATCCATAAATAAGAGTCTGTTAAGAACTCAGGATTAAGATCATCCTATATATGACCATCGGTAGACTCAATTAGAATTTCTATACTTAACGGAATTATTAGAAATTCATATTGTGTCTGTGTCCTTGTTCCACATAATCTCATTATGCGAAATACACTCATTCAATATCTCACCATATTAACAGTGCGGATAACACCGTTCCATTCTAAATGGGAATGACATGTATTAATAATGTTTTAATTAAAGATTCTGAACTTTCATTAAATTCATTATGAACATTGTTTTTTGATTATTATCCTTAAACATTATCCTCTCGTATATAACACTTATATACAATATTTAAGGTTACATAAATAATCACGAAATTTTCATTGATATTCATAAAATATTCACAAATATGTACACATAAAATGATGAATAAACTCCTATATTAAATAAATAATAAATATCCTATTACATAAAATGATGAATTAATGTTTTTAATTTTATTATATTTATGATTTATGGCATGAACGATTTTAGAGGTGAGCACCCGATGACCTCATTCGTCACGACACCATTAGAAAATTTAAAAAGGTTAAGTAAGGCATTTATGTAAGTACACTCTCACCTACAATATGAATTGAATAATTGAGAATATATGATTTTGATGTTTGTGATGATATTATGGCGCTTTTAATAATCCTCTTATAATGATGTTTTGAAGAAAATTGTATATATGTATTTTTATGTTTTTAAATGGCATTGTACACCTTGATGGTGACTGGTGAGCGGTCTTATTATCACGGTTGGTATGGAATTTGCTATCCCATACTTTTTGTGGCTAGCGCGCTATGATGGTACAACGTCGGGCCCAATATATGATGGATTTTAAAGTTAAAATATGTGCAAAAATAATTATTCTCATAATGACGTTTAATATTGATGAATAAAAATGTTCATTTACGTTTGTGAGATCTAAGCGTCTTACTAAGTCCTTGCTTATATAAGTTCTTTCATGTTGCAGATAATCAAAAGGATAAGATGTAGCCATGGAGAATCTTGGAGCGGATGCGAGCTATGCGTGATAGGAAAATAGGAGAAGCGATCATGGAATGAAAAAGTTAAATTTTTAATAACGTTTTAATTTTTTATTGTTTATTGCTTGGACTTTGGTTTTTTGTGATTTAAATTTGAAGAATACTTTCATTTTTTTTTTTTTTTTTTGCACGATATGAATTTTAATAATTAAGTTAAACCCAAACATTATTTTTTTTTTTAGGAAGTTTAAAATTTTTAAAGTTATAATATATATAAAAAATTCTATGATTTCTTTAAGCAATTTAAAATAAAATGTTTCAAGTTTAACTATTTTTCGCATTCTTTAAGAGATAAATGTTTGAAAGTTAAGATAACTGTGACCATCTATGAGGGGTTGTTACATTGTCTTACCCACGCGCCCATCTTGGCCGTTGAACTTTTAGATCCAATGACTTGAAAAATATTCCAGTTTTATTTTAAATTGTTACTTATTATTTTTATTTATTTATTATAGAGTTATTTATAGTATGATTTTGTCCATTTTAACTTTTTTCACATCAAATTGTTTGGTACTATTCAAATAATAATGTTATAAAAAATTAGGAAAAAATAAAATTTGATAAAAGTACTCTGAAATAAAATAAAATAACACCTTATTAATTAAAAACAAATTAAAAAAACAAGAAAAATTAATAAACAAAATAGGTCCATTCCGTACATTTCACGCGCAAATCGTACCCGCTGATTTTTTTTTTATCCAACAGCTTGTGATAAATCCCAAATTATTTTTTAATTATTTTTATTTATTATATTTAATAACTAATTTTTAATAGATTTGTAGTCCAATTTTGTCCGTTCTAACACCATTTTGCACCAAATTGCTGATACTACTTAGATAAAAATACTATAAATAATCAAATTAAATCCAACAAATACACAAAAATAAAGTAAAATCACGTCAAATTAAATTAAAAAATAAATTAAACAAAACAAGTCCACACCTACAGGATCGCCTATCGGCCTAATCCCTTCGTTACTACCATAGACTTACAAAAAACTTTCATAATTAAAGTTCAAAATCATATGTCGGACCGCGAGTTTTTCGGGCTAACATCCTCTAACACGTTTCTTTCATGCCTTTTTTTCCCTTTCGTTTCTTTTTCTTAAACAATTTATATATCATCTATTTTGAATAGATCACGTGCATGATTTGGAATCATAACCATTTTCCCAATTATTATTATTTATTACGTTTATTTATTTATTTATTTTTAAGAGATTTGTTGTCATATTTTTGGCACCGTTTGGAGCCGAATTTTTTATGCTACACAAGTAAATATATATAAATAATTTGTATGAATTATAGCAATTTTATTACCATCTTGCACTAACATTCCGATACTACTTACATGAAAATGTTGCGAATAATTCTAATGAAAAATAAATAAAAATGTGTTGAGTTAAAATAAAATTAAATCACATCAAATTAAATAAAAAAACAAATTCCAAGAAAACAAAATAAAACTAATTTAAAACACAATAAAATAAGTTAGAATCTTTTTGGGTGAGAGGTATTCTTTTTTTTCTTCACTTTTTTTGAAAAATAATTTATATAACTGTTATTTTTAAACAATCACGCGCATTTCACGCGCCAAAGACTAATGTTGACTAAAATGTTGCCTAAATCTCAAACGTGAACCTGAACAAGCATAAAATATAAGAAAAACTTGTCAGCACAGGAGACCATGAAGATCAGAGGGGAAGAAAAGTAACTGAAAAACTAAAGCATTCCTTTTCAGAAATATTCAGATGGAAAAAAAAAATACAAATTAGATAGCGATTAGTATAAACGTATCACGTATGAATAATGCAGAAATAAGTAATTAAGAAATCGATTACCTAATATCTTTCATACTGATGATATAATTTTTAAATGTTGAAAGATGCATAAATCAGTGAAAGGGTGCTTTAGATAAGAGTCAATTAGGTTAATATATCTCTATAAAAAATATAATGTACTATTTAGGAGATTGTAAACTTAAAAATAATTAGATTATGATTACCTAAATGACTTTAAAGTCCAACCAGATAGATCTGCTATTTTTCTCAAAGCATCTCTCCACGCTAGCAATTTCTCATCCTCAAAACGTTCCTTAAGTTTAGCAAACGCGACCGCATAACTTCCTTGTTGTTTTCTTACATCTGATGGTTCAACATTGTGAAAAACAGGTAGAACTTCGGATTGTTCATCCGTTTTCTTGCATTGGAGAATGTTCGCAAGTTCTTCTAAGCACCATCTAGAGGAAGCATAGTCTTCCGACAAAATAATTAGACAAAGCTTGGATTCTTTAATTGCTTTCAAAAGTGTGGGTGATATTTCATCTCCCGTCTTGAGATCATTCTCATCTATGAAGGCTTTGATTTTCTTTCGAGATAAAGCACTATGAAGATGGCTTATAAAATTAAAACGGGTATCCACACCTCTAAAACTAATAAACACATCATATTTAATCTCCTTCAAAGTGATGTGAGAAGAGGAACCATCAGTAGCCAGACTCATGTTCTCCTACCCCCAAAATAATCAGAAAGCCACTTCCTTCATTCTGTATGCACACATATATTCAAATCAAAAGTCAAGTTTTCCAAGTAATTAGTTTCTTTGTTTCTTTACAAGCGATTAGGTAAAGAACATACGGTTATAAATGATACTGAGGTGATATATATAGGCTAAGTCTCCGGTACCGAACTGGAGTTGTACCTGTATATTTTTTCTTTGAAATATGCTTATTTTCTCTTTTAAAATGTGTATATTTTCTCTTAAAATATATATATATTGTATATTTTACCATAAAAAGAAATGTACATATTTTAAGAGGAAATATACACGTTTTAAAGAGGAAATATATATGTTTTAAAAAATAAATATACAAGTGTTGCTCCAAGTCTGGTACCGGACTGGAGACAATTTCTATATATATATATATAATGACCGAGAAAATCTTATAATTAAATAATATAAATTTATTTATTTAAGTCAAGGATTTTTTATGAGAATAACATGTCATATTTTTGTAACACCTTAGAGAATTAAATGAGATTATTTAAGGTAATTGAGATTTATTAGTGTGTATAATCTGGATTAATTAATTGATTATTGATTATTGATTATAAAATATTTTTGACGAGTGAATTTAAATAATTCTAAGGTATTTAGATGACATTTGTTTCCTATATTCGTCCTTGATTTTGAATCATGATTCATGGTTCTCTACAGTGTTTTCTCTCACAAAAAATACACGTAAAATGAGAATGATTCTGAATCATGATTCTGAATACATAAACCAAACGTCCTCTTAAATATTCTCAGTATTTACATTTTTACCCAGAAGTGTGTGTGGGTACATTTCTGGACTGTCATTTTAAATATTGGACACCTGTCTTTTCTTTTCTTTTCTTTTTCTTTTCCTTTTTCCTTTTTCTTTCCTTTTCCTTTTCTTTCCTTTCTTTCCTTTGCCGTGCATACTCTCTCTCTCTCTCACTCTCACTCTCTTTCTCTCTCTCACATCCTTTTCCTTTTCTTTCCTTTCTTTCCTTTGCCGTGCATACTCTCTCTCACTCTCACTCTCGTTCTCTCTCTTTCTCTCTCTCACGTTTTTGTCTCAGAACGACCGGATCTTGAACCAAAGAACGATTTAAAGAAGTTTTCAACATCAAGAGAAGGATTTGAGGTAAGATTTCTGGAAAACCCTCTCTTGAATCTCGGATTTGGGTATTTGAAAACCTATTTTTGGTTCAAAACGGATTTTGATGGATTTTGAGTAAAACCATGGTAGAAATTGGAGATCTTGGGTTCGTTGGACTTGATTTAGTACTTAGAACCCGGATCTAGTGGTTTTACCTTGAGATGTTTTGGATTGGAACTGAAATTACAGGTTTTCAGAATAATTTTGGCGAGTTTCCTCACCTTGCTAGTTCCACTGGTCGACCAGATCGCATGGCAACAGGTCGACCTGTGCAAACCGGTCGACCTATGCGGTCGACCGAAGTGCACACCACCGGTCGACCGGTGGTGTTGCATTGCTCTGTCACCGGTCGACCGGTGTACATGGGGTTTGACCCTGTTTTGCCTGAAAAGTCCTGTTTGACCTCTGTTTTCAAGGAGAACCCAAATTAGCTTCATTTGGGGACTTGAAATAGATGGATTAGCATCTTTAATCCATGTTTTGAGATTGAAAACCCTTGGAATGATGATTTGAAACATGAAATTGGATTAGGGCACACTAATAGGAAATCTTGGTGCATAATTGAGATTGAATTGCTTAGGAATGAGAATTAGATCCTAAAGTGTGGTTTTGTATCAATGCTAGCTGAGGACTCAGATTGAATGGCTTTGAGGAAGTGGAAGCCAGAATAGAGCAACGCTTGCCACAAGTTTCATACTTGAAGGTAGGATTCTTTACCTTTTCCTTTGTGAGCCTGATTTTCAAAAGAGTTTTGCCCTTGCAAATGTTTTAAAGAAAGGGGCTTGTTTGCGAAAGAAAACTATTTGAAATCCATGGCTTGTTGTAGTTCATGGAATCCATGGCTTGTTGTAGTTCATGGGACCCATGGCTTGTTGTAGTTCATGGGATTATAATAAACGATTTCAGAAAGTTTAATGAATGATTTCTTAAGATAAGAGATCTTGCAAACCGGTAAACTGGCTGATGGCCTAGACAGGATGTGGAGAGTGCATCCTTAGGGGCAGAACTTGAAACCCAGCCCGGGGGTGAGAAGGCTTGTTCATGTGGTTGTGTAAGTAATTTATCTCAGTATAAATTACTTGCTGATGCCAGTAATACGGATATTTTCAGTTATATTTACTTTGAGAAAAAGGATGTGAGGTTCCGGCTGTTATGTTGGAACTGAATATCTTATTTATTTACTTATTCATTTATTTATGTACTCGCTCATTCATTTATTCATTCATTTATAAAGTTTATTTCAAATTATATCCTACTGGGCCTTTCGCTCACGTTTTTATTGTCTTATAAATATTAAGCCCCTTCCAAGCGACTCTAGGAGCGGTGCGGAGTAGCTGGATTATTTGCTACCATTCAATCAAGTGAGGATTGTGTTTATCCTCTTGGATATATGTAAGAATTGTAAATTCTGTAAACTCTGATTATTGGACTTCTAGACTGTGGTTGATGTCTGTAATGTTATTTACATGTTCATGTATGTACAATGATGTATGTCATATGGGTGGAGCCCTGTATGTTGACAGAAGCCCGAGTGTAGAACCTTTCCCTTGTACTTTATTTCGAGTTAAATGTCGGGCTCGTTTGGGGAATTTTTTTAATATATTATTCTTAATCGCGTTTAACTCCTAATCAAGCCTCCACGTCACCGACCCCTGTGTGGGGGACGTGACAATTTTGTGATTGAAGGATTTATGGAATTAATATCAGTATTCCTAAATTCTGTAGCAACTTTTATGATTAGTTCAATTGATAGAATGCTTGAATGTGGTAGAATGCTTGGAGAAATTTTGCTTAAGATAATGATTGAATTTCAATTGATAAAGGAATTGAAAACTTAGTGATTAACGGATGAATTTTTGGTTGTTAGAGTATGTTTCTAGCAATCTTTGGTTATGAAGAATGCTTGTGAGAATTTGAATGAAAGCCTAGAGCATGGTTTCTAAGATGATAAAATTGTAGGAGAAAGATTGTGGGATAAGTTTGAAAGTTGAAACAACAAATAAAACAAGCTAAGCTTAGCACACGAAACGCAAAAAATTAGGCAACGCAAAAAATTAGGCGAAACTCTTCTAAAATTTAGTTTAAGAATTTGAAATCAAACTTAGTTTTAGTTCTAAACATAAGCTTTAAGTTATTCTTTAGAAAACATTGCACAATTGTTAAAATAGTTTTCATGTTAAACAGAAGAGTTCATTAAAGAACTCAAAATGTAATCTCAAAAAAGTATTTCTATCACAGACTTTATTTAATGAAAAGTATTGTTATGAGAATTCAATAAACCTAATCTTTAAATTAGAAACAAGGTTTTATAATCCTTTAAGGAAGGAAAGAGAAAGAGTACCATAAATAGAGAAATTAAATTTTCTTATAAGCTTGCAAAAATAGAATAGCAAGTGATAGTTAATCTCACACTCTTAGTGGGTGTTTATTCTCATAAATAAGCAAGAAGGAGAACGTGCTATTTGGCGAATAGAGGATTCCACTTCTTAAAATAAGTAAGTAGGAATCTTGCCTACAATATAAATTTATTTGAAATAAAACAATACACATGATTTATATGCTTGATTATACTTCATGTTATAGTATGCAATTGCCATGCCATGTTGCATACACTTTAATAAGCAAAAGGGACTTATAAGAACAATTACAGTTGAGTGTCGTACCAGCCTCCACGAGGGAGGTAATTAGACTCCGTAAGGGAGATAAAGAAAAGAGAAAAAAAAAAGTCCTCCATGAGGGAGGCATTCAATTCAGTTTAAAATTACGGTGTTGTTGGAGACCTTGCAAACCCCCACACCCTGATGATTACGCGCAATGGTATGAGCACTCGGGCCCATCAGTAAGTAAGATGAGATCAGATAATAAAATTATGATAAGTCATCATAAAATTATGATAAGACATCATAATTAAGCATAATTGGCTCATGTATATATAGTCATATGAACTTACAACTATTTTGCGAGAAATAGTTCCTACTTGCTGAGCGAAAGCTCATTTCAGAGTATTTATACTGTAGGTAAGCAACCTACATCTAATACTTGATAGACTACTGGCAAAGTAGTAGACGAACGATGTGGAGAGGCTTCAATTTTAGTCTTTCTTCTTCGTTTTTGGCTTTCTTAACTTGGTTTACTAATCTTGATTTTGAGGCCCTCCAAATTGCACCCATGTTCCTGAATATTTGATGCTTCTGCCATTGTTTATCCACTTTATATCTTGCCTACAATGCAACAAATATTGACTCTTTGCTAAGATATATAGTATAATATAGTATAACATAAGCATACCCGGATAGCTTTCCAAAGCACTTTTTTCATCCCTGGTTGTAACTTTCTCCAATCCGGAAGTGGTACGGGAATAATCTCCCGTACAAGTGGCCCTAGAAAGGAAGACAAGCTAACTGATCCCCTACCTATTGGTTGTCCCATTACGTTGAAACTCACTGAAATTGGACCGCTGTCATCTAAGGCAATTCCTTTCATCTTTGTCTTCCCTCTCTTTGCATTTGGATTTTTAGACTTTCCTATAGATTCTGTTGTTGTCTCCTCACGTTCTGGTGCAGGAGAAGCTTCAACTCCTTGCAGTCTGTGAGACCTCCGAATAGGTGTCTCCTCAGGTTCTGGTTCACCTTCACTTGTATTTGGAGGAGTAGCTTCAACTCCTTGCCGTCTGCGAGACCTCTTAAAAGGTGCAGTGGGTCAGGTTATTGGTGATTGGAATGCTTCATTCCTATCAACCGACTCACCTAGTGTGCACCTTCACTTGGCAACAACGGAGGAGTAGCTTCAACTCCTTGCCGTCTAAGAGACCTCCTAG